TTATAATGCAACAATTAAAAAGACAGACAGAGTTACTTCTCCTTTATCTGTGGTTTGGCTTTCCACAGTACCAGTTACCTGCTGTCAACTGCAACCCAATATAGTAAATGGAAAAATCCAGAGATAAATAAGTCATAAGTTTTAAATTACGTGCTGCGCGAGGGGTGCTCTAAGCCCAGGGCTCCCCCGTCCTGCTGTGACACGAGTCAACCCTTTGTCCCTGGGCCCGTGCTCTCTGATTAGCCGTCCGCTAGCCACTGAGGACAGAGTAAGCCAGTCACAGAGAGATGGACGCTGTGTGACTCCGCTTAGATAAGACAGCAGCAGGAGCCGGACGCCTGCAGCAGCAAAGGCGGCTGCCAGGGCTGGAAGCGAGGGGACGCCCTGGTACCTCACGGGCACAGCTCCCGCCCGCAAGCTGGAGGTGCTCTGGAGGCTGGCGGTGCAGCCCAGCCAACTCACTCATCAGTGCTTAGACTCGAGATAAAGAATAACGTTTTTACTTCTAGCGGGCACAAGAGCCACGTGGAAGGCCAAGCCAGAGTGACACAAACCCAGAGCTGAGACTAGCCTGAGAAATGTAACAGGATTCTGATTCTTTTAAAAAAAAAACACAAAAACAAAATTATTTTCTTCCTTCCCACCAACCCCATTTCGTAGAAACTGTCATCGCCCCCATTTTAAATGTTGGCGGTCTTTAACATAGCAAATCCTTGGTAAATATTTGAATTGATTTGTAAATTAAACCTGTCTTTTTCCCCTCCTGTGTATCAAGTCTGAAAAGATCTGGGTAAAGTCAGATCGTACTCATGCAGAAGCTGGACAAGCAGCAGTAGGAAACCCCCAGCCACACTCGCAGCAAGCGGACGCAGCCCTCCTGGGGCGCTGGTACACTGCTAGCTAACTCTGGCGCCGACGTCTGTGTTTAGCCCTACATCTTAATAATGAAAGAAAAACATCGTTGTTGCTGATCGCTGACTCTGCCTACTGTATTCATTAAACTTTATTTCACAGGTGTATATGCAGAGGAAAAAGCATAGTATATGCAGAGTTTGGTAACGTTGATCAGGCGTCTACTACGGGTCTTGGAACGTATTTCCTGAGGGGAGGGGAGATCACTGTAACCTGAAGTTTTGCATGAAAAAGGGATATGAATAGATATTTTAGCAAATCGGTCAAGCAATGGCCGTGACTCACCCACACGGCTGACACTGACAAAGGATCTACAAAGTGCAGTACAGGGTTACAGGATAAACCCTGAGGGGATTTGTCTGACCTTCTCAGACACAAAAGTTACATCTTGCTTTATCTTGGTCTTAACCATCCAGCAGAAAAGTCTAAAAAAAAAGGTATATAAAATAAAGCCATATTAATATGCAGAGCTGTGAAAGGCTCTAGTCAACTTTTGCAAATAACCCACTACTATTGTGGACTGCTGGACTGTGTTGGACTGTTTTGCTGAATTCAAGCACCTATAGTATTTAGAGGCCAATGGAATCCCCATCTCTGACAGGACTGCACTGGAGGGGGGACACAGAGGAAGGACCATTTTGTGTTTGTATATACAGAATAGTTAGGATAGATGTACGGCTGCTTTTGCTTGGCTCAGTGCGAGGAAGGATTTGTAGTACTAGTGTTTGGACGGGACGTCCTGGCTGCTTCTTGTGCTATGGATGATGCTGAGAAGATAACAGTGTGCAATGTATTAATTATTCAAAATGTCCTATTAATCAGCTTGGAAATTGTCTCATTGATATTTGTTTCTCAATAAAATAAAATAAACAGACATGATTAAAATTAAATCCACTTCAGTATTTAATTTAGAAAAACAATTATTCTTGCTCCATGTGGCTTCTTAGTAAACATTTTCTCTCTGGTGACTTTTGATATGTACAGAAATGCTTATGAGCCAGTTAAATTCCTAAGTTTAATTGCTATTTTGTAGTTTTTTTTCAAATTTATTATGTTAACAATAAAATGTTGGGCTGGTGAGATGGCTCAGTGGTCTAGAGCACCTACTTGGAACAAGCTTAGCAAAGCACAGGGACCACGGTTCAATCCCCCAGCACCACATGCCAGCCAGCCCCGCCCCCTGGTGGGCTGAGCTGGCCACACACACACACACACACACACACACACACACATAAATAAAATTTTTTAAAAATGCAATAAAATGTTGCAAATGTTTAAAAAAAGAATAGATATTTCTTCACAGAAGACATAAAAACAACCATTAGCACATAAGTCATTAGTTCAAGTCAAAACCAATGAACCCAACTCCCGTGCCAGAGGGTGACCATGCCAGGAGCAAGGACAATTCTGCTTCACACAGCCAGTTTTGTTTTTGTGTTGTTGTTGTTTTGGTTTTTTGAGACAGGGTCTCTGTGTAGTCCAGGCTGGCCTAGAACTCACCACGTAGTCCAGGCTGAGCTCAGACTTACAGCAATCCTCCTGCCTCAGCCTTCCAAGTGCTGGGATTACAGATGTGCACCACAACTAGCTTTTAATTGCTTTCTAAAGTCACTCTTTAAAAAAATAATTTTATTGAAAAACAAATTAACAATGAGACAGTTTCACAACCAATTACTGGCACTTTTTTTTTTTTTTTTTTTTGGTGGAACCAGGGATCGAACTCAGGCCCTTGTGCTTGCCAGGGAAGCACTTACTCCACTGAGCCATCTCCCTGGCCTGGCACATTTTCAATAATTAATATATTACATGTTGTCTTAGTGGTTATTCATTGTACAAGATGCAGACATGATATCCTGTCTCAAACACTATTATAACAATCCTCTCTATTCATTGAATTAAGAGAATGGAGCTGTATACCTATCCTAACTATTTGAGTATACAGATATAAAAAGGTTGTTCATTTCTATCCCACTTTTTTGGTTAGTTTTATCAGAGAAGGGCATTCCATTGTCATTTAAATATTGTAGGTGCTTGAATTCAGCAGAATCTCCCAATATAGTCCAGTAGTCCATAACAGTAGTGGGTTTTCCGTAAGACTGGCAATGTCCAAAGTGGTTGACTTGAGCTTTTTACAGCTCAGCATATTAATGTGGCTTGGGCTGGGGAGATGGCTCAGTAGAATAAGCACTTGCCTGGCAAGCACAAGGGCCTGAGTTCAAGCCCCAGTTCCGCCAAATAAAAAATAAGCATACAGGGGCCGGGGTGATGGCTCAGTGGATTAAGTGCTTCCCTGGCAATCGCAAGGGCCTGAGTTCAATCCCCAGTTCCACAAAAAAAAAAAAAAAAAAGCATATTAATGTGGCTTTATTTTTTATACTTCATTTTCATACTTTTCTGCTGGATGGTTAAGACCAAGATAAATCAAGACCTATATAACAAGAAATGTAACTTTTGTATTTGATAAGGTCACTCATGTCCTCTCAGGATTTGCCCTGAAACCCTATGCCACAGTTTATAGATGCTTTGTGAGTGTCAGCCATGTGGATGAGTCACGGCCATTGCTTGACCAATTTTTGCTGTCTGTGAAAGCCTGAGAGAATATTCTCTCTCCATGTGTAAAGTCACTTTTCTTACGAATACTAAAGTTTGTAAGTGTAAGCGAGTGACTTGTTTGCCTTCTTTTTAGCCTTAATGATGTGGCTTGAAGTTTCTGTGGCGGTTTGTTTTGTGGTGCTGGGGATTTTGGCCAACGCCGGAAGGAGCCTGTGGGTCCTCCCCAGGGCCTGGGCCACCAGTGAGGTCACAGTTGCGTGATGGCACAAACCCTCTGTGGGGCTCTTGGGCCGATGGAGGCCACAAGTGGAGAGTGGCACAGCTTGCGAGTTGGGAAGTAGCGCAATTGTTACAACACTAAGCTGAGTCCTTTTTTAAAAAGAAAATACTCCCTCATATCTTTGAGAGATTGAAGTTATTTTTTTTAAATAATGATTATTTTCCACCATAAGGATAATTTCAAAGCAGCTTTCAAGCACCTAACCTGAACATCTCTGGAGTCCCCGGCTCTATGGTAGGTACAGATGACAGGCGGGACCACAGGCAGGTCTAGATTCTGAATATCTATAATTGAGTTGTTTAGAAACAGCTACACTCTGGGTTCCAAAGCAAAGACTCGAGAAAAATGAATTCTAATCAAACACTAAAAAACTTTTTTCTTTGTGTTGTATGTTTGGTTTTTTGGCAGAACCGGGGATTGAACTCACAGGCCCCTGTGCTTGCCAGGCAAGCGCTTATTCCACTGAGCCATCTCCCCGCCCCTTCTCTGTGGTTTACCAGTACTTATTGTTCCATATGCCTGCTCAGGACCCACTCTTCTTGTGGGTGAGCCACCTGAGATTCCACTTCCGTTTTGTCAGAATTTTTCATGTGGCCCAGGCTGGCCTCAAACTCATGATCCTCCTGCCTCAGCCTCCCAAATCCTGAGATTAGAAGTGTGCATCACACTTATGGTTCACTCCACTTAAAAAAAAAAAAGCTATGAAATGAACACAGGTGAAGCCAACCACCCAGCCCATGCCAGACCACGCAAGCTAGGAGAGGGAAGACCAGAGCGGAGGTTGTAGTGAAGGGGTCGACTCAGGAAGGTCTAGAGCCGCAAACAGCGTGGCGTGCCACACCCACTCCTGCCCTTAAGAAAGACCACGGGACCAGGAGAAGTGATAGAAGGGCTCTGCGTCCCAGAAGGAAACCCTGAGAAAACCTAAGCAAAAACAAGCAGGCAGATATTTAAAATGCTCTGATGTTCATCAATTACAATTTGAAATGTTCTGGTTCATAAAGTTCTTTTTGCCTTTAAATAACTTTCTCCACATATTTCTAAGATGCTTTGTCTCACTCACCATGATTTTATGGTTGGAGCTGTACCACATGATGGTTTTATACACGTGTACACTGAAGTAACCACACAATCGAGCTCATCAACACAGCCACCATTTCACAGCGGCCCTCTTGGAGGGGAGCGGCGACACTTAGAATTCGCGCTCTCAGCACATTCCAAGTATGTGGTAGCGTCGCTGTCTGCGATCAAGCTTTGGAACTTACCGTCTTGGGTAGCAGGGACCGGGGGCTCCTGCACGCCCTTCTCCACCCGTTCACGCACTCTGAGCGTGGTCTTCTAGAGTCCACATGCGCGAGAGTGGGCACCGCAGCTTTTGTGCCTGGCTTGTTGCACTTAGCATGTTTGTTTGTGCAGCAGAAGGGTGACGCTACAGTATTTGAAAGGGGGAGCAGCAACAAACTTTTCATGGAAAATCTAAAAGGAAACTGCCACATAGCCCTCAAACTTTGCACGTAACTCTAACTTGAATTGCATGTAGTTCCATTCCTTGAGCTGGGAAAGTTGCAGAAGAGTATGGAGAAATTAATCTGCAAATCAATCCTTAGTAACATCCTCTAAATTTCAGACCCAGCCACTGGCCACATGGCAGTTTCAGAACTTAAATCAAAACTTAAGCTGAATCCTCTCAAAGTGCCTGTCTTCCACAGCAAGAGGTAAGTGGTATAAATGATAATAAATTATGAGAAAGAATTTTTAATGTAGTGGCTATATTAGATACCCAGAAAGGCTGGAAGACAAGTTAGAATGCTCTCCAAATATCTATGCTATAGTGGGTTTAGTTAGAAAACAAAACAGGGCCCGGGGAGATGGCTCAGTAGAATAAGCGCTTGCCTGGCAAACGCAAGGGCCTGAGTTCAATCCCCGGTTCTACCAAAAAAAAAAAAAAAAAAAAGTAGGCGTGAAAAGAGAGTGAAACTGGCCATGCAGAGCAGGCTTGGGCTGAGCAAAAGGAAAAAGCACGATGGAAGTGGAGAAAGCAGGCAGGCTGCGGCGAGGAGAGCCAAACGGCAGGCTGTTCTTGGCGTCTGTTCCTCTTATGTTATCCAGGTCGCCAGGAACCCACAGGAACGCCTGCATATGGGTGCTGAGAGGCAGGGCTGGGGGCTCAGGCCGGGGCTGACTTCAGGTTAGGCCGTCCTGCTGAAAGTCTGCTCGAGGTCTCGGAAGTCCACCGTCAGGGCTCTGGGAAACGCTCCGTGCCTGTGCTCCGGGCGCTTGTGATTGGCAGGCCACCCCGCTCCCCAGCCAGCTTTGCCAGCCCTGATCTCCATGTCCATTTGAACTTAGGGAAAACAGAAAGGCTTTCTCCAGTGTTTGCTCTACGAGAGGATTTGAGATTGTATCCAGCGTATTCCTCCTAATGCGGCTAGTAAAGCCCTTATAGTGCACAGAACAAATGCAAGGTCAAAACGTTTGTTTTCCTCTTCTTGAGAATGCATTTCTGTATCTGGTGCATCTTCTACATCACACTAATGAAATCTGATTATATTTACAAATACAAAATGACCCGAGTCTTCAGAAATTCAATAGATGATAAAGAAACATCAGAAGAAGAAATCAAGGGCCAGGGAGATAGCTCAATAGAATAAGCGCCTGCCTGGCAAGCACAGGGTCCTGAGTTCAGTCTCTGGGAGGGAGGAGGGAGGGAGGAAGGGAGGGAGGAGGAGGAAGAGGAGGGGAAAGGGGAGGAGGAAGAGGAGAAGGAGAAGAA